ACCACTATTTACAATAACAAAGTTTCCACAGCACAAATAAACAAATACATAGTGTGAAAGCCTTCACACTGGTGCTTTCTCACATGAGGCTTCTCTCACACCGAGGTTTACCTCACACTCCTCAGGACAACACCACTATTTACAATAACAAAGTTTCCACAGCACAAATAAACAAATACATAGTGTGAAAGCCTTCACACTGGGGCTTTCACACATGAGGATTCTCTCACACCGAGGTTTACCTCACACTCCTCAGGACGACACCAGCTTTGGCCCACTGATTCTAAAAGGTTTCGGCCTACTCACTCTTTCAGTGCTTGACTCATGCTTTTGTAATCAAAAATACCAGCTAATTTTTAATATTCCCCTCGTCTCCCACTCTAGATGGTCTCGAGTCTCACCCGGGATGTTCTTCTCTTCTCCTGAATTCAAATTCCCATTTAGATGTGAGGCTTTTCAAAAAGTAAACATGGGAAAACTCCTCCCTCCGGATTTTTTGGAGACTCCATTCCTGACAGCTGCTGTGGCTTCTCAACGCTAATCAAGCTTGCCAGTTGCAACAATCACACTTGCTTCAAACAGACAAGGGTTCTTTCTTCCACCCTGGACATTATTCCACAGGGATATGTATACTCCACAGATATGTATTATGGCTACCCGGCCGGTAAGCTGTTGGGAATTGTGCGAGTGGGAATCCAAAACACCTGGCGAATCGCACACTTTCATAGATATACAGGAAAGGTTTTCATGGGTATAATGATAATAATAATAATAATAATAATAATAATAATAATAATAATAATAACCCTTTATTTGTGCCCCGCTACCATCTCCCGAAGGACTCAGTGCGGCTTACAAGAGGCCGAGCCCAAGTACAACAATAAAAACAGCAGCAACAACAACAACACAGTAATTCAAAAACAAAAGAAAAACAAAGCAATAACATTAACAACATCTAATGATGCAATTAAAAACAATGGCTGGGCCAAATGTAATAATTAAAATTAAAAAGTGCTGGGCATGACAAGGTGGGGCCACCACCGAGAAGGCCCTGCCCCTCGTCCCCACCAATCGCGCTTGCAATGCAGGTGGGATCGTGAGCAGGGCCTCTCCAGATGAACGAAGAGATCGTGTGGGTATGTTGTACCACACACCATACATTTTGTTTTTATTCTAATTTATGTATGCACCCGCATCTCCAAATTACTGTGTTGTGAAATGATGCACAGCCAAAAAATGTATCACCAATATGAAATGTTTGGAAAGCTCTGTCAAAGAGGAAGAACGGAATAATAACATGTGACGATGATACTCGTGACAAAGGAAAGAAACCAAGGTATCTGCAAGAGAGGGCACGGAGCTCAGCGGGTCACCCAACCAGCCTAGACTTGGCTTCGTTACTCACGCCTGTGCCGTGGCTTCCGCAGGTAGACCTCCTCGTCATTTAACCAGACGGCGCCCTGGATTTGGTGGGAGCGCAGCTTCTTGCCAAGAGATGCCAGTTCGCTGTCCCAGGTCTCCGAGGGCAGGTGAGCAAAACGCTGCCGGCAATACCCGTCCGCGTGCCACCAGTCCAGGGCGGAAGAGACGTACTCGAACACCTCTCCGAATGTCTCCATGATCAGGCTGTCAGGGCCAGAAACTGGGAAAGGAAAAGGGCAGGGGAAATAAGAAAGTTGTTGTGGCTGAGATGTTCTCTGATGATGAGGATGATGGGATTCAGATTCCTGGCTCTTTTTCTGTGCCTCAGATCTCTGGGCCTGTTTCTAGGTCTTTTTCTGAGGCTCCCACAGACAGGGCAGAGTCAACACAGTGGTTCTCAGAAGAAAGGAATGTCAATAACGAAGTAGATAGCGAACAGGTGGAGAAGCCTTCCCATGCTGATACTGAAAGTGAAGAAAGCCTTGATAGTGACCTGACCTGGCAAGCCCGTCTTGATTTGTGTGTCAGGAGGAGTTCTCGCCTAGCCAGCAGAGAAGAAGCCAGCTCGCAGAAAGGTCATCGCAATGCTTTCATGTTGGTGAGAGCATAACGTTTTCATGTTAGAAAGGTATTTAGGCTTGCAAATGGAGTGAAAGTGTCAGTTCAACGTAGCTTATTAGCCTGAAAGCTTCATGGAATAACCTTAGCTGTAAAGCAGTACGCTTGGGATTTCTTGAATTGTAATTCTTGGGGCAATTGTTTCATTGCTTGTACCTGGGACTCTGTTTTGAACTTTGCCTATAGGATTGTGCCTCCTGTTTTTACCTGAAAATCTTTGGAACTATATTTTGCATTTAACCTAAATCTTGGGAACTTTTTAATGCTTATTCTTTATTTTGACTTGGACTTTTTCTTATAAAACTACAGCTCTTGTGTGGTGGTATTTGGAAGTAATCCGAAGCTTACTCTGAGTTGCAACAGAAGTGTGGAAGCAATCTGTCATGGAAGCAAGGCTGTCCCAAGTACAGTGTTCCCTCACTTATTGTGGGTGTTACGTTCCAGGACCACCCACGATAAGTGAAAATCTGCAAAGTAGGGATGCTATAGTAGGGAGCTGCTTCCGCCTTTGCGGCCCTCCCTCCCTCACCCACCCTCCTCCCTCACTCGCTCGCAACTCACCGGACCGAGTCCTGGTTCTGCCACTGGGACCTGGCCCAGTGAGTAGTGAGTGAGCAAGGGAAGGAGGATAGGTGGGTGAGCAAAGGAGGGAGTGTGGGCCGCTCACTCACTCCTCCTCCCTCGCTCACCCACTACTCACCGGGCCAGGTCCCAGTGGCAGAACTCACCCAGCCTCACTTGCTTGCTCACTTACCAGGCCGGGTACCAAAAAACCGCGAAACAGCGAGTCCACGAACAGCGAGTCCACGAAAAGCCAACTGTTAAGTAGCGAGGGAACGCTGTATTTCGCTGCCTAAGGTGAAGCAGCATGCAGTATCCAAAGACCTTAGCACATTAGAAGATATTTTTTTTCAAACTGGTCCCATTGCACAACACTATCCCGGTCCCATTGGTATTCCATCTCAAACTTTGCAGATTGAATCCTAATCATTTTTTTTAAAAAAAATACTATAGATCAGTGGTTCTCAACCTTCCTAATGCCGCGACCCCTTAATACAGCTCCTCATGTTGTGGTGACCCCCAACCATAAAATTATTATTATTGCTACTTCCTAATTGTAATTGTGTTACTGTTATGAATCATAATGTAAATATCTGAAATGCAGGATGTATTTTCATTCACTGGACCAAATTTGGCACAAATGCCGTCATGTCAGCCACATGACCTTGGAGGTGTCTATGGACAACACTGGCTCTTTGGCCTAGGAACTGAGCACCAACTCCCAGAGTTGGACTTGACTGGAATTAATGTCAGGGGAAAACTTTTACCTTACCTTATCCGATATGCCCAAATTTGAATACTGGTGGGGTTGGAGAGAGAATTGATTATGTCATTTGGGAGTTGTAGTTGCTGGGATTTATAGTTCACCTACAATCAAAGAGCATTCCGAACTCCACCAACAATGTCAGGGCAAAACTTTTACCTTACCCTACCCAATATGCCCAAATTTGAAAACTGGTGGGGTTGGAGGGAGAATTGATTATATCATTTGGGAGTTGTAGTTGCTGGGATTTATAGTTCACCTACAATCAAAGAGCATTTTGAACTCCACCAATGAAGGAATTGGACCAAACTTGGCACACAGAACTCCCACGACCAATGAAAAATACTGGAAGGGTTTGGTGAGCACTGACCTTTAGTTTTGGAGTTGTAGTTCACCTGCATCCAGAGAGCATTGCAGACTCAAACAATGATGGATCTGGGCCAAACTTGGCATGGATAGTCAGTATGCCCCAATGTGAACACTAATGAAGTTTGGGGAAAATAGACATTTGGGAGATGCAGTTGCTGGGATTTATAGTCCTGCCGGCGGGAGAGCAATGCAGGTGAGGGATGCCTCGTGCAAGGTGGAGGAGCTGACCTGGAAAGAATGGCTGTTTCCCTGGCATGGGCTGGCAGCCATTTTGAGGAGGCGGAGGGGCAGGGCCAACCGAGGCGCCTTCGCGACCCCCAAAAAATGGCCCAGCGACCCCCTTGGGGGTCGCGACCCCCAGGTTGAGAACCGCTGCTATAGATCCTTCCATGACTGAAACACTGTTTTGTGAGCTTTGGGAGACCAGGATTGAAGCTGCATCTCTTGAACACGGTGTGCAGTACTACGTCTTCTTGAGCGGCCTTTATAAGATGGTGTTCTTAACCTCCAAGCAGAGTCCCTTCGTGGTCGCCAAATGAAGTCAATACGGACTTTAGGAGGGTCCCCCCAGTAAGAGAGACCCCCTAGGACCGCACCAAAGAGGGTCTATGACCTTGGCGAGCCGTCAGAGAAGCCTGATTCCAGCAATTTTATTAATATTAATAAAATTGCTGGAATCAGGCTTCTCTGACGGCTCGCCAATGTCGTAGACCCTCTTTGGTGTGGTCCTAGGGATCTCTCTTACTGGGGAGACCCTCCTAAAGTCCGTATTGACTTCATTAGGAAAATCTGTATGCATCCCATCAACAACAATTCTTTTTGTGGTGGTTCTTGTGAATTGGCATATCTTTGTCCCTGACAGTTCAAAGAGATATCTCGGTATATCAGTCTAGCAGGAATACTCTTGGAACATGGTCATACAGCCTGAAAAATTTGCAGCAACCCAGTGATTCCGGTCATGAAAGCCTTTGACAACAGGGTTCAACACATCAAAGCACAGCTTTGGGTCACTAACCTTTCTCCGTCTGGTTTTCCGCAGGGATCGTGAAGCCCAAAGTGTTCCTCGAGGGAATGCCGACCTGAAAGAAAACTCAGCTGTAGTCATTTTCCCTATTCCCTGGTTGGGTGCAGATTGCAAAACGAAATCCTTTGCTTTGCTCGGAGCTCCAGAGACCAGGACATGAATCAACTACACTCTGTGGTGTTCCATACACGAAACTAGGCACGTGTATGAGGCTGGCCGTTCTTCTGTTTCCGCCATCGGCTTCTCTGGCCCTGGAACTCAACAAAGAAGCTCCTGTTTTGTAGCAGGTTTCCTATGAAGCGGGTGAGGCGGTCGTCCTTTGTGACTGTTAGGAATTGTGGGAGTTGAAGTCCAAAACACCTGGAGGGCCCACGTTTGCCCAGGCCTGGACTAAGACAATGATGTAAAGTTACTACTGTTGATGTAATTACTACTGTTGATGCAAAATTACTTCTGTTGGCTTTGTATATAAATAGTTATGGTACATTGTGTACACTGTGGAAATAATAATAATAATAATAATAAACCTGGTATGTCCAAAATTCAGTCCTCCAGGTGTTTTGGACTTCAACTCCCACACTTTGGAGATAATAATATTAATATAAATATAATATAATATAATTACAATATAATAATAATAATAATAATAATAATAATAATAATAATAATAATAATAATAATAAATCACATCGTCCTAGATGCTTGGGAAGTGTTCGACTTGTGATTTTGTGATACAAAATCCAGCATATATATCTCATTTGCTATGACTTACTGTGTTTTTGTGTCAGTAAAATAATTATATCATACTAATAAAAAGAACCAAGTATGGATTGTCGATGTTGCAATCCCAGGATTGAAGAGAAACAACTGGAAAAGATGACATGATATGAGGATTTGAAGATCGAACTGCAAAGACTCTGGCACAAACAAGTAAAGGTGGTGCCAGTGGTGATGGGTACACTGGGTGCAGTGCCTCAAGACCTTGGCCTGCACTTAAAAACAATTGCCGCTGACAAAATCACCATCTGTCAGCTGCAAAAGGCTACTCTACTTGGATTTGCACGCATTATTTGCCGATACATGACATAGTCCTAGACACTTGGGAAGGGTCCGACGTGTGATCCAATACAACAGTCAGCAGAGTGATCTTGTTTGCTGTGTACTAATCTTGTCGTGCTTCTAATAATAATAATAATAATAATAATAATTATTATTATTATTATTATTATTATTATTATTATTATTATTATTATTATGCCTGTGCATTATTATTATTATTATTATTAGTAGTAGTAGTAGTAGTAGTAGTATGACAAGATTAGTACACAACAAACAAGACTGTGCAAGGAAGCTGAGGAAACCATGGATCATATCCTCAGCTGCTGCAAGAAAATCCCACGGATGGACTACAAACAGAGGCACAACTCTGTGGCCCAAACGATTCACTGGAACTTATGTCACAAGGACCACCTGCCATTAGTAAAGAATAGGTGGGATCATAAACCCGCAAAGGTCATGAAAAATGAACATACAAAAATACTGTGGGACTTTCGAATCCAGACTGACAAAGTTTTGGAACACAACACACCAGGCATCACGATTGTGGAAAAGAAAAAAGTCTGGATTATGGATGTCGCCATTCCGGGTGAGAGTCGCATTGAGGAAAAACAACAGGAAAAACTCAGCCACTATCAAGACTTCAAAATCGAACTGCAAAGGCTCTGATTGCATCAACCAGTCCAGGTGGTCCCAGTGGTGATGGGCGCACTGGGTGCCGTGCCCAAAGGTCTCAGCCGGCATTTGGAGACAATACACATCGACCAAATCCCGATCTGTCAACTGCAAAAGGCCACCTGACTTGGATCTGCACGCATCATTCGAAAATACATCACACAGTCCTAGACACTTGGGGAGTGTCTGACTTGTGATTTTGTGATACGAAATCCAGCAGAGAGATCTCATTTGCTGTGACATACTGTGCTTTTGTGTCAATAATAATAATAATACAAGCCAGTCAAGGTGGTTGCAGTGGTGATCAGCACACTGGGTACAGTGCCTCAAGACCTTGGCCTGCACTTAAAAACAATTGGCGCTGACAATATTACCACCTGCCAGCTGCAGAACGCCACCCTACTCGGATCTGCACGCATTATTCGCCGATACATCACACAGTCCTAGAGACTTGGGAAGGGTCCGACGTGGGATCCAATGCAACAGCCAGCAGAGTGATCTTGTTTGCTGTGGGCTCATCTTGTTGTGTTTCAAATAATAATACATAATAATACGCCTAATACATCACACAGTCCTAGACGCTTGGGAAGTGTGAAACTTACGATTTTGTGATACGAAATCCAGCATGTATATCTCGTTTGCTGTGACATACTGTGTTTTTGTGTCAGTAAACTAATAATAATAATAAGGGTCCGACGTGTGATCCAACACAACAATCAGCAGAGTAATCTTGTTTGTTGTGTACTCATTGTATTTCAAATAATAATAATAACAATAATGCAAGCCAGTCAAGGTGGTTGCAGTGGTGATCTCCTTTGCTATGACTTACTCTGTTTTTGTGTCAGTAAAATAACAAAGTCATAATAATAAAAAACCAAGTATGGATTGTCGATGTTGCAATCCCAGGTAACAAGAGGATTGAAGAGAAACAACTGGAAAAGATGACATGATACGAGGATTTGAAGATCGAATTGCAAAGACTCTGGCACAAATAAGTCAAGGTGGTCCCAGTGGTGATCGGCACACTGGGTGCAGCGCCTCAAGACCTTGGCCTGCACTTAAACACAATCGGTGCTGACAAAAATCACAATCTGTCAGCTGCAAAATGCTACTCTACTCGGATCTGCACACATCATTCGCCGATACATGACATAGTCCTAGACACTTGGGAAGGGTCCGACATGTGATCCAATACAACAATCGGCAGAGTGATATTGTTTGTTGTGTACTAATCTTGTCGTGCTTCTAACAACAACAACAACAACAACAACAACAATAGAAAGTAACTCTGCAAAAAAGTGCATGGACTTTCCCCCATAAATCAGGCAAACTCACCAGAAAGGCAAGGAGCCAAGCGATGCGCCGCATCCTGACCGGCCGGCGGTCTTGCATGCTCCTCTGTCCGGAGGAAAGAGAGAAATGTGCTTCTCCAATGCGCTGTCTAGACGGTCCTCCTCCTCCTCCTCCTCCTCCCACCGAAGGAGGCTTGCTCTATGCCCACAGCTCTTCCTTTGACTAAGGATGGATCCCAAACAACAGTTTTGACATACCTTGTGAAAGAATAGATATGATGCACCGTCCTCAGGTGTGGCACCTGTTCTTTCAATGCACACCAATCACACGATGGAATCAAATTGGAAAAAAATAAGTTCTGTTCCTGGTTTGATGGTGTTATTTCCTGTTTAATGGTGCGGTCCTTACTTTGAAAGTCGTCATAAACTTCCAGGAACTTTGTTTACGTTGAATGAATTGAGACTCTAGTGAGATACTCATTGGGAAAGTAGAGCAACATGTGCCGCTCGATGCTCCTCCCGAGCAAAGTTTTGGCCGTTTAATAAGCTTTCCCCATGTGTTTTGTGATAGGAAATGCCACTGACAACCCAGGAAGGAAAGAAAGCACCATCCCTCGGGGGTTTCCGATCCGAAGAAAGAGCGATGAAACACAGATCCGCGCAGAGAGGGGTCTTTGCTGCACATCAAGCGTGGGAAGGCGCAAGGCCTTGCGCATTGTGATATTTCCTCCTTCCCTGCAATTCGCTTGGCAGCTCAGGGCAAAGTAAAATACTACCAATAATAAAAAAGCTACGGATGGTTGAGCCTGTGTGATGCACAACACTTTTGCCCCCCTCTCAAGGGAGCGAGAGCGATGGCAGCGCTTTGACATTCAGCTTTGCCACAGCAACCTTTGTGGGTTCCTCGCCGTGGGAGGGATGCTTTGGCTGCCCCTCGGATTCGATGGAGATGGCYTTTTGTTCTCCTGGGACGGAGGCCATTAGCACATCGCAGCGCCTCTGCAACCTGCCATAAATCTCCCTCGAAAAAAAAGGAAGGAGACAGAGAAAGAGAGAGAGAGAGAAAAGGGAAAGAAAGGGACCCCTTAGCGGCAGTGGCGTTTGGACCTCTGAGTCATCCACACACAGAAAGGCATCCTGGAACACATATAATAACTCTTGGATGCTGTATGTTTCCGAATAATTGGCGACCAAAGAAGGCAATGGTCGATTTCCGGGAACCGGAGCGCCTGCCACAAGGCCCCCGGGTGGTCGGATCTCCGACCACCCGGAGGCCTCGTGGCAGGCGCTCCGGTTCCCGGAAATCGACCATTGCCGGGGACTTCGTGGCATGCACTCCGGTTCCCGGAAATCGACCATTGCCGGGGGCCTCATTGTAAGCGCTCTGGTTCCCAGAAATCGACCATTGCCGGGGGCCTTGTGGCAGGCGCTCCGGTTCCTGGAAATCGGCCATTGCCGGGGGCCTCGTGGCAGGCGCTCCAGTTCCCGGAAATCGACCATTACCAGGGGCCTTGTGGCAGGTGCTCYGGTTCCCGGAAATCGGCTGGGGGCCACATGGCAGGCACTCCGGTTCCCAGAAATTGACCAYTGCCAGGGGCCTTGTGGCAGGCGCTCCGGTTCCCGGAAATCGACCATTGCTGGGGGCCACGTGGCAGGCACTCCGGTTCCTAGAAATTGACCATTACCAGRGGCCTTGTGGCAGGTGCTCCGGTTCCCGGAAATCGACCATTGCTGGGGGCCAYGTGGCAGGCTCTCCGGTTCCTAGAAATTGACCATTACCAGGGGCCTTGTGGCAGGCGCTCTGGTTCCTGGAAATTGTCCATTACTGGGGGCCTCGTGGCAGGCACTCCAGTTCCCGGAAATCGAGCATTGCCTTCTTTGGTCCCCAATTGTTAGAAAACCTGTAGCATCCTAGACTTATTATATGTGTTCCAGGATGTCTTCTACATGATGACCTGGCACATCATGACCCAAATTAAAATATTTTTGTGGAGACTGATAGAAGATGATGGGAGTTGGAGTCCAGCCATGCAGAGAGTCGTACGAATACTACTCACGATACATCTGGATCAAACTTGGTATTCATTATCCAGCTTATAATAATCACATTATTTGCTTTGTGTGTATGTTTTATAATGGATGATGGGAGTTGGAATCCAGCCATGTGGAATGCCGCACAAATCCTACTCACAATGCATCTGGATCAAACTTGGTATTAATTATCCAGCTTAAAATAATCACATGATTTGGTGTGTGTGTGTGTTTTATAACGGATGATGGGAGTTATAGTCCATCCACATCCAAAGCACATCATGAATCCCACCAACAATGGATCTGGACTGAGCTTGCTATACATACCCATCATAATCCGACTTAAAATACTGTATTTTCATTATCCAGCTTAAAATAACCACATTATTTGGTGTGTGTGTGTGTGTTTTATAATGTATGATGGGAGTTGGAGTCCACCCACATCCAAAGCACACCATGAATCCCACCAACAATGGATGTGGACCCAGCTAGATACACATACCCATCATAATCCAACTTAAAATACTGGTAGGTTTGTTTTGGTTTTTTTTTTAGTGGGAGGGGGGAGAACTGATAGAGGATAATAATAATAATAATAATAATAATAATAATAATAATAATAATAATAATTATTATTATTATTATTATTATTATTATTATTATTATTATTAATTATTATTATTATCTGACCCTTCCCCTTGAGGAAACTCAGAGTGGATTACAGCACACAGGCAAACATTCAACGCCTTGTTAACAATAAAATACAATGAAACACAAATAACACAGACAAAGGCTTCTCCTTTCATTTCCGGCTCTGGAGGCGGTGCTCATCTCTGATTCTAGGGGAGGTGTCCTTTCTCCATTTCCAAGCTGAGGAGCCTGTGTTGTCCATAGACACCTCCTGGCCATGGGGCCAGCATGACAGCACGGAGCGCCTTTTGCCTTTCCCACGAAAGCGGCACCTGTTGATCTACTCATATTTGAATGTTTTCGGACTGCTAGGTTGACAGGAGCTGGAGCTGACAGATGGGAGCTCACACTGTCCCACAGATTCGAGCTGCCAACCTTTAGGTCAGCAGTTCAGCAGCACAAGGGTTTAACCCATTGCGCTACCCATGGCCCTATGTAGCATAGTGGGACTTGGAGTCCGTCCAGATCCAGGCTACATCTCCCAACATCCTTCCCAACTCTAGAGTAGTATTGAGTAAAAAACTTAAGTTTTGTCTAGGAAAAACTCATTTTTTTCCTATGGTGTTTCTGCTAGTGATGCCCAAAATCTTTTTGTATCCAGAAGCAATGCTAAGGGACATATCTGCTCCATTAAGAGTAATCCAAGTCGCACAGGGGTTGTGAATTGTGCCCGGAATCGAACTCTCTTTGCACATTTCCCTTTCCTCTCCGTATTGGCACACACTTTCTCTCTCTCTCTTCGAGCAATGAGGTGTTGTTGAGGGTTTGATTCCCTTCCCCGTCACAAATGCCAGGGGCCATTTAACAAGCTCCCACGGATGCGCTGGGTGTAATCTTTCCTTTCCAGGCCCTTCTCATTGTCCGGCCCTGAAAAGCCGTGGCTCGGAGGCACTGCCATTAATTGCCGGTTTTATGTTTTCCCGTGACAGGTGCATTGTCTGTCGGAAGAGGCGCCATTGTCCCTTCCCCGCAGCAGGACGCCAGCTGTTGATATGGGGACGAGCCTTTCGGCAATGGAGGCCTGCCGTGTCTGCCTTCCACGCCATCTCCCCAAACAGGACGGAGCAAGTTAGGGATTCATGGGAAGAGAGGTGCGCCAACGCCATGTTCCCCGCATCCTCAACAAGAGCATCAAGTCCCTGGTCCAAGTGGTCGCGACTCCCGGGTCAAAATAGGGTTGGGAACCACTGTTTTAGGCATTTAAGCTGTTTTTGCTCTAGAGTAGTGGTGCCCAGATCAGAATATAACCTCTCCTCAACCTTCCTAATGCCATGACCTCTTAATACAGCGCCTCACGTTGTGGTGACCCCCAACCATAAAATTATTATTGGGGATTCTGGGTGCTGGGCATCACCCACTGACCATTATACCATTTTGTGTCCTGGCTTTTGCCGGGGCTCTGGTCCATTTTTGGGAGCCTCCCGAAATTGGAAGGGCAGATATCTGTCTGTACTCTGGGGTGCCGAAAGATCCATTTTCTATAAGCCCATTATTTGGGGGGTGGCTTCTCAGTCTCCCCGTCATTTAAGGCATTTAAGCTGTTTCTACTCTAGAGGAGAGGTGCTCGTCTGCAGACAGGCACCTGGGTTTTAAGGAGGCTTCTTACCTGTTTCTACTCTAGAGGAGAGGTGCTCAGCTGCAGGCAGGTGCATGCTTTAAGGAGGCTTCTTACCTGTTTCTACTCTAGAGGAGAGGCGCTCGGCTGCAGAAGGTGTGCACTTTAAGGAGGCTTCTTACCTGTTTCTACTCTAGAGGAGAAATGCTCAGCTGCAGACAGGTGTGCAATTTAAGGAGGCTTCTTACCTGTTTCAACTGTAGAGGAGAGATGCTCGGCTGTGGACAGGTGTGCACTTTAAGGAGGCTTCTTACCTGTTTCTACTCTAGAGGAGAGGTGCTCGGCTGCAGGCAGGTGCATGCTTTAAGGAGGCTTCTTACCTGTTTCTACTCTAGAGGAGAGGTGCTCAGCTGCAGGCAGGTGCATGCTTTAAGGAGGCTTCTTACCTGTTTCTACTCTAGAGGAGAGGTATTCAGCTGCAGGCAGGTGCACGCTTTAAGAAAGCTTCTTACCTGTTTCTACTCTAGAGGAGAGGCGCTCAGCTGCAGGCAAGTGCACACTTTAAGGCGTCTTCTTGCCTGCAGCTGAGCGCCTCTCCTCTAGAGTAGAAACAGGTAAGAAGCTTTCTTAAAGCGTGCACCTGCCTGCAGCTGAATGCCTCTCCTCTAGAGAAGAAACAGGTAAGAAGCCTCCTTAAAGCATGCACCTGCCTGCAGACGAATGCCTCTCCCCTAGAGTAGAAACAGGTAAGAAGCCTTCTTAAAGCATGCACCTGCCTGCAGCCAAGTAACTCTCCTCTAGAGTAGAAACAGATAAGAAGACTCCTTAAAGCATGCACCTGCCTGCAGCTGAGCGCCTCTCCTCTAGATTAGAAACAGGTAAGAAGCCTCCTTAAAGCGTGCACCTGCCTGCAGACGAATGCCTCTCCCCTAGAATAGAACAGGTAAGAAGCCTTCTTAAAGCATGCACCTGCCTGCAGCCGAGTAACTCTCCTCTAGAGTAGAAACAGATAAGAAGACTCCTTAAAGCATGCACCTGCCTGCAGCTGAGCGCCTCTCCTCTAGATTAGAAACAGGTAAGAAGCCTCCTTAAAGCATGCACCTGCCTGCAGACGAATGCCTCTCCCCTAGAGTAAGAAATAGGTAAGAAGCCTCCTTAAAGCGTGCACCTGCCTGCAGACGAATGCCTCTCCCCTAGAATAGAACAGGTAAGAAGCCTTCTTAAAGCATGCACCTGCCTGCAGCCGAGTAACTCTCCTCTAGAGTAGAAACAGATAAGAAGACTCCTTAAAGCATGCACCTGCCTGCAGCTGAGCGCCTCTCCTCTAGATTAGAAACAGGTAAGAAGCCTCCTTAAAGCATGCACCTGCCTGCAGACGAGCACCTCTCCTCTAGAGTAGAAACAGGTAAGAAGCCTCCTTAAAGCGTGCACCTGCCTGCA